AGATGAGATCTACTGTAAGACACAACACGAATGTCACATTTATTAAACTACCAAGCACAGAAGTTACATAACAATGAAATAAAGTTTGAATTACTGAGATATCACTGATGGTCAGGACTGGTAGCTTTATTGCTTCACAGAAAGACAAGAGATCAGAGCTGCTTAAGGAAAGTACACTACACTTCCTGTATGTGCTTCAAATTAAGAGGAGCACATGTTAAGGACAACAAAGAGAGGGTGCCACCAGTGAGAGAAAACCACACCATAAAGATGATTTCGATCCAGCTGTAACCTGTTTTTTTTTTTTTAAGACTTTTTAACTGTCTCTTATTTGTTCCTCATGTTCTCACCTTTACTGTGAAACTCTTCTGCCAGATCAGGAGTTTGGAAAGTTTCAGGATGCAGTGGTGTCTCTGTTGTCACAGTTTTAGCTGAATTTAAGTTTGGCAGAACAGAAGATTTTAAATTATTTACGATATATTCAAATATTCTTTAATGAGCAAAAACAAGTTGTTGGTAAAATAACCCAAGTTTAAAACCAAACAACAAAAATATTTTTAGTCCAACTCACCAACAATCAGATGAACAATTAAAGATTTTGTTTGACTCTTTAACTTTGGGATGAAACATCTGTATCTTCCTTCATCTTCTTGTGTCACATTAGTGATTCTTAGTGAGATGTTTCCGTCTCTCAGGCCGTCTGTGAACAACGCCGTCCTCCCGATGTACGATGGGATCTTCATGTCAGTCATCTCCTTGTTGTGCCTGTAAAGATGAACATATTCCACTCGGCTCAGATGGTCGTTGGGGTCAGGACGACGATCAGGCCTCGACCACTCCACCGTCAGTCCCACCACGTTAAACTTTGGCTCCACGTGACACGGCAGGATGACATCATCACCTGGAGCAGCTACGATAGGCTGAGGAGATCCAACCACATGTAACTGACCTGAGGAGGAGAAAAATGAAGAAAATAAAGAAATACATCCTGCTGAAAACCAAGTTAAGTATGACAATTTAAAAAATGTCTTTATAGATGTTAAAACTTTCCATGAAATTATATCCAACTTTTTAGTATAAAATGTGACTAAGAGCAAACTTTAATTTGTACCACTTGATTCAGGAAAAGAAAAGGCAGAGCTGCAAAGAATAAAAATAAAGAATAAAAAATTCCTCAATCTCTTTTGAGGAACTTGTGGTTTGCTTTGGTCTAACATCCGCCTTAGACACATTCCTCGGAGTTGGACCCCCGACCAAGTTCCAAAGGCCAATGTTGTCACCACTACGTTATCCAGTTATACGTGTGCGAAAGAAATATTTAAAAATAAATAAACACAAAAGCCACATATACTGCACGCTTTCTGCATCATCTGCCAGTATAACAGACTTTTAGACTGGCGCTACATCATCACTGACTTTTATCACAGTTTTAAATCACTTCCATTATCATTATTTCTATATTT